GTAGTTATATATCACTTGTCAAAACTTAAACCCAAGCCAACATTTACCTAATAGCAATACACATTTACAAGAACCTTCCATTAGAGAGAAAAAAAAAAAAAAGAACTAATCAAAGTTTTTTACAAATATTATAATTTGATTGGCTTCATAAAATTAATAGGAAGATATCACATTACGTTATAGTGTTCAAATGTTAAATTAAATAGTAGGAAACCACATTGCATTGCAATATATCAAATCCAATAAATATGTATTCAAGTTAAATAATATTAGGCGACTGAATTTTTCATATAAAAAATTTTAGTTCCCAAAGATTTCCATAGCAAATAAAAAAAATGAGAGAAAAGTCACTTTTAGATAAAATAGAAATAAAGCAAAATTTAGGAAAGATCAAAAGAGAAGAAGGTAAGCCTTGATTGATTTTATTTTGATTTAGTTTTCCTACTTTTTCCTTCTTGAATCTAATCTAAGGAAAAAATGATTCGTATAAGCTACATGCAATTTTTTTTCCCATTTGGTGATCGTACCTTGCCAATCCAAAAAATAGGATCTTGAGTTTGCCTTTCAAGTTGGTTGTCCCCATCTGTTATTTCAATGCTTGGAAATTCTGAGGCAAATGTCTTCACCTTGTCACATTGTTCCACAATCATTCTTTTCAACAATGGCCATTTTGTGATGTGGATTTTAGGGAAGAAACCCTTGAAATTGGGTAGACGACCAAGTTCCAAGTATGTTACTCGAGGAAATACAAGCCGAGTGACTTCTGTTTCCACCAACTTTGATTCTGTGGCTGCAACTACTTGTGATCCACTACCACTGAGTCCTTGAGCTTCATATACTTCTCCAAAAGAATTGCAATTGGAGCAAAATCTTATGAGTTGCGGAAGGTCAACGAGCTGTAAGTTGTCTAGTTTGGGAAACATTGTCTGGCTTGTCTTTTCTTTTTCTACCAATTCTTCTATCAGTATTACCACTTGCATCTCCTTACACCTCTCAATCTTGAGTACTTCAAGTTGCTCAAAACTTTCAACCATCGATGATGTGAAGAGATATTCCAAATTATTACAAAACCATACAGTCAATTTTCTCAAGTTTTGAACAAATGAGGACATTAATGTAACTTGGCTATGCCATATTTGCTGTACACAAATGAAGCTCAGATACAATTCATCCAAGTGAGAAATGTCAACCTGCAAATTAAGAAGGTCCAATTTCATTAAAACCATTATTTTTTAATCAAAGAAAACAGAGCAAGAGTGATGTTGAGAAGAAGTGGAAATTATAGTATGCGAGTAATAATAATAATTAAAATTGTGTTAAATGTTAAATTTGTGAAGAAAAGACTGACTACATCATATAATAAAGCTTGACATGATTTTGTGAGTGGAACAATAAATGGGGATCCACGTGGCAGAGGGACTTAGATTTAGTCTGCCTCCCCTACATTTTTCTTAATGGCCAAACGAAGATTGCAGTACATTTTTCCTTTTTTTTTTTTTTAAGAACATTTTCTTGGAATTTTAGTTTTACAAATACATTGTGAGATTATTTTTAAAATATACTCCTTTTATTTATTTTTAATAGGTGTAATTTTATTTTT